ATGTATTTTTGATGTGTTCATGGGGAGAGGTGAGTTCCACATCCTCCTAATCCACTGTTTTCATCTCCTCTACACTTGGCCACGTTCCCGTTGCCCATTCATAGATATTTCTTTGTAAAGTGTCTTTTCATATCTTCTTTCCATTTTTAACTTAGGTTGTTTGACATTGAGTTGTAGGAGTTCTTTATATATTCTGATTCAAGACTTTGTTTAGATATATTTGCAAATATTTTCCCAGTCTGTGGTTTACCTATTTATTTTCTTAATGGTGTCCTTTTATCAGTGGAGGTTTCTAAATTTTGATGATGTCTACTGTATCAGTTTATTTTTTTAATAGTTAATATGTCTGTGCCCTGGCTAAGAAACCTTTGCATTTACCAAGTTACAAAGATGTTCTGTGTTTTCATTGAGTAGCTTTATAGTTTTAGTTTTATGTTTAGGAGCATAGTACATTTAGAGTTAATTTTTCCATATGAAGTGAAGTAGGGATCAAGGTTCATTTATTTCCCCCATATGGATATCCAATTGTTTGAGCACATTTGTTGAAACAATTGTTATATATTTATGTTTTTACATATATAAAAAATTTTCCTTTCCTCAATGTATTATCTTGGTAACTTTGTTGAAATTAAATGACTGTATGAGTATGGCTCTACTTCTAGACTTTTTATTCTGTTCTATTAATTATTTGTCTATATATGTATCAGTTTTACCTTGTCTTGGATATTGTAAATACTTTTACACTAAGTGTAGTAAAGGCTTCCCTTCTGTTACTCTTTTTTTCTAGTGTTTCCACTCTCGCTTTCTAGATGTTATGGTCACGCCAATCTGTTCCCTGGTTCTTCAAACGAATAAGTCTACAGTTTTATATCCAAGTTTTAGCCATCCACACTGGTGCATGACCTCCAGCAAAAGCCATAAAGAATGAGAATTTTACCATGTCATTCCCTTCATCCAAGTTTATTTTCCCCTCCAGTTTCTTCCTGCTTTTTTGTTCAGTGCCTTCAGATAGTTGTTTTATATATTTGTCTCGATATAGTTTAAATTTGTTACCGGGGGGAAGTTTGGTCCAGTAGGAATTACTTCTCCATTATAGAAGTGGTACTCAGATGGTTTTTGAAAGTCAGTCTGAAAGCAGGCGTCTGGCCAGAAAAGCAATTAAAATGAGGAGTGGGGAGAGGTATGGTGCAAAGAGAGGCAAGTTTCAGATAGAGGGAAAGGATTGGTTCAACTCACAGAAGGCTTAGAATAAAGCCAAACAGTGCTTAGAAGAACTCCAAGGGAAAGAACTTGCTAGAGCATTGTGTTTTTCAAACTGTGAATCATAAAATCAAATTTGGTAGGTGGCCTCTGAAAAGTCATTTTTGTTGCTAACCTAATCCAAAGCCATAACACAATTAGAAAGTAAGATCAATACATTGCTGATTTGAACTTTTATTCTCAGCTCTCCAGTTAGAGAATAGTTTGTGAGGTCACTGAGTTCATCCCTTCTTTGGTGTGTTGTGGACCTTCATTTTATATTGGACTTCTCTTGTAACACAAACGAGCATATAAATAGCACACTTCTCAGTAAACATGAAATATATAAAGATGGATCAAACATTTGTCAAATTTTTGTCAGGGTTGATGAAGCATGATTGACTTCAGAGATCCCCAGTTTTAAGGAATCCTCAACTTAGACATCTTTTATGGGGAAGGGAAACCTTGAAAATATATCTCTTATCAACAGATCTCAGAGTTCCTTGTTCATGGAAAAGGAAGTGATGGAGTACCATCAGGAATGCACTAAATAGGGATAGTATTAGAACCTTTCCCCTCTTTCTTTATTTTTTCCTTCTCTTTTCTCTCTGTAACTCTCCCTCCACCCTAACTCACACACACACACACACACACACACACACACACACACACACAACACACACACACACACACACACACCCATGAGCTCTGGATAAAAGTACAAATAAGGACTCATAACTATATAAATCAAAGAAAATTAAATAAGTAAAAGGATGCTAATCCATCTTTCAGTTTCTAAAATTAGGCTGAGCTCTGGAAACTGGTTATAATGAAGAAAAGCTTCTTTTAAATTCTTTAGCTAATGATTCCATGATATAATTCGTCTCTTATTAGAAGAGAGTGTCATAATATCAACATTGGCAGAAGAAGGTTAAAAGATAACAATAGTACTTCAAAAGACACCATTAAGAGCATGAGAAGGCAGGTCACACACTGAGAGAAAATATTGGTAATACATATGTCAGACAATGATCTTGTCAACAGAATGTATAAAGAACTCCCATGAATCAGCAATAATAAGATGAACAGCCCAATTAAACAAATGAGCAAGAACTTGACGAGATAATCACAAAAGAATATGTATCAGTTGCCTAAAAGCACATGATAATATGCTCTATGTCATTAGCCATCAGAGAAATTTAAGTCAAAACCACAGGAATTAATAAAAGGAAAAAGACTGGCAATGTCAAGTATTGACAAGGATCTGAAGCAGTGAATACTCTTATATTTTGCTGGTGTGGATGCAGTAATTGAACAACCACCTTGCAAAATAGTTTGGCATTATCTTATAAAGTTAAACATACCCCTATCGTTTGAACCGTGAACCCCCACTCCTCGGTATTTACCCAAGGGAAATGAAAACCTATGTACACAAAAAGCCTTGTGTATACAAACCAGCTTTATTTGTACTAGCTCCAAACTGGGAAAAACCCCAAATGTTTATCAATGGGAGAATGGATAGACCAATTGTGGTATGTTCATACAGTGGAATACTACCCACTGATTAAAAGGGATGAACTACTGATGCATGCAACAACATGGAAGAATCTCAGAAACATTATGCTGAGTGAAAGAAAGAGGCCAGATACAAAAGAGTATATATTATATTAATCCACTTATATGAAATTCTTTAAAAAATGCAAAGCTGGGGCTTCCCTGGTGGCGCAGTGGTTGAGAGTCCGCCTGCCGATGCAGGGGACACGGGTTCGTGCCCCGGTCCGGGAAGATCCCACATGCCGCGCAGCGGCTGGGCCCGTGAGCCATGGCCGCTGAGCCTGCGCGTCCAGAGCCTGTGCTCTGCAATGGGAGAGGCCACAGCAGTGAGAGGCCCGCGTACCGCAAAAAAAAAAAAAGCTGATAATAGATTGTGAAAACAATCAGATTACTGGTGGCCTGGGGTGGAGGTGGTTTGACTGCAAAGAGGCATGAGGAACATTCTAGAATGATGGAAATATTCTATAATGATGGGGTTACATAAATGACTCAAAGGAATTGTGAAATTAAAAGGTATGCATTTCACTGAATATAAGCTATATTTCAATAAAGTTTTTTTAAGTAAAAAAAGAGTTCTAGTCCCTGTACTCTGACTACCTTGGCATATGGGAGATACCCCACTTACCCTCCCTATGGTAACCATTCCTATTTATCTTTGATAACCATTGCCCTGGACAGAGAGTTTTGGTTTTCTTTTTTTTTTTTTTTTTTTTGCGGTACACGGACCTCTCACTGTTGTGGCCTCTCCCGTTGCGGAGCACAGGCTCCGATGCACAGACTCAGCGGCCATGGCTCACGGGCCTAGCCGCTCCACGGCACGTGGGATCCTCCCAGACCGGGGCATGAACCCGCGTCCCCTGCATCGGCAGGCGGACTCTCAACCACTGCGCCACCAGGGAAGCCCCAGAGAGTATTTTTATACTCACAAAATCATAGTGCATTAAATGGAGATTCCCCTCACTTTAATGAAGCACAACAGATAGGTGGGATACATGGAATGGGATACATGTCCAGGATTTAAACAGCACAGTTGGGGTGTTTGTCTTTTAAAAATAAATGTAGGAGCATCTGAATGATTTTTGTTTTTGTTGTTCTAATCAGGGATCAGGAAACTATAGCCTACGCTGTCTGACTTTGTACTACCCTTAATCCACAAAAGCCACAAATGGTTTTTATATTGTAAGGGGTTGTTTAAGAAAAGAAAAACAATATACAACAGATATGTAAGTGTCCCTCAAAGCCTAAAATATTTACTATTTGGACTTTTACAGCAAAACCTTACTAATTCCTATACTATAGTCTTTGATCAGCATGGTCCGCCTACTGTAATTGATTCAACCTCTTAAAAACTTGAACAGCGTATTTTTTTAAAAAAATTGTAGTCTCAGCAGTTTGAAGTATTAAGCATACAACCTTATTTCCTTTCCTATAAAGACTAAGGTGAATATTAAGTTGAATGATATGATAGCTGCTTCTCTAGGGATACTATATTTCCTGTGAATGGGCCACTGGCTCTGTACTAGCAGCCTGGTTAGAATGATGTTGAAGATGGTAAATAGGCAGAACATTTCGTGATAGTGTGTGGCATGTGTGGCAAGAGGCTCTCTCCCAGCCATTCTGCTAAAAATGCAGGGCAATACTAAATGTTTCCGGTTTGCCCTAGTGGTATAGATGGGAGGAATCACCCTTTAGCCTCTGGAAAGTGCGAGAGTAGTTTAGAAGGTGTCTGAGAACATGTAGAGGCTAGAGAGGGTGATTTTTTTTTTTTTTTTCTGTTAGGTTAGGGGATCTGTACTGCACTCTCGCAGCATTAAGTTTCCCCCGTATGGTGCATTAGAATTCCCACATCAACTGTAGAACCTTCCCACCCTCTTCCACTATTTGCTTCTGCCTCCCACAGTCTCATTTGCCTGACCACAAACCATAATGGATCTTTAAAAATTAATTTAGGTGCTCTGAGCATCTCTTTATTCCAGATTCTAAAGATGAACCTGGGGATAATGGTACATCTAGAATTGCTTTAGGAAATGTACAGCCTCTTTGAGGGATCCCACTGTGCTAATGGCTCACACATCCAAATTGAGGGATCATTGAAATTGTGGTGGACAGGCCAGGGACAAGAACAAGCAGCAGCTTGATGTGAGCTAGCACTTAGGTTAAACTCCGTGAATGTTTATGATTCTTCTTTCTTTTCATCTTTTCTCTAGGCCTACTCTGTCTATGACGAAGACATTGGGTACTGTCAAGGACAGTCTTTTCTTGCTGCTGTGTTGCTGCTGCATGTAAGTAATTTTCCATGTAATAAAGGGCATGGTGCTGCCAAGTTTATTTTATTTGATGCTTGGTTTTGTTTTCCCTTCTTATTCTCCATTGACCTGATGGAGATTACACATGGCATATCTTTTTAAAAATGTTCTTTTGGTGATAAAGTAAGAGATCTGATGTCACGAACAGGACAGTTTCTCAGTAGAATTAATTTTGCTGGCTGGTAGGGAATAAATTGCTTATTTGGAGTTATTTTTAACTAGAACCCTCTAGAATTAAAGAAGTCAATGTAACTGCCCAAATATGAGCAGGACCAGAGCCATGATGAAGGAATGTGACAAGGAAGTCTTTTATCTTTTTTGTGATTTATTTTTGTATACTCTCTTTTCTCTTAGTCACCTTCATTTAACAGAACATTTATTGAGAATCAGTTGTCAGTACTGGGCTAGGAAGTGGGATTACAAATACGAATAATTTATCGTTTGTGTTCTCAAAGGCCTCATGGGCTAGGATGGGGCACAGGTAATGTACGCACGTACCTATTATTTTAGTTCTTTTTATGTATCTGTGCTGATTTTTGTGATGATCACTATAGAGGAACTTACAGTGTGCCAAGTGAAAGCGATGCACAGAATAAGAGAATAGAGAGGAGAATTATCCAACTCAGCTCTGCCAGAACTTTCAGAAAAGACTTTCTAGAGGAGGTGGTAGCTTTGCCAGGACATAAATATTTGATGTTGGGGAAGGTGAGCTGGGTAAGAGAGGGAGTAGAGATTGGTAGACAAAAGGAACAGCATTAGCAAATGTATGGAAACACAAAGGGCACAGCATATAAAGGGAACAGTATGAAATGATAGTTCCTTTACTGTTGCTATAGAAATTGTATGCAGAGAGAGGTATGAGGTAAAAATGGTCATATGGGCAGGGACCAAATTATGAAGACTTTTTAATAATGTCAAGAAATGTGGGCTTTATGCTAAAGCTAATGAGGAGCCATTGATCAGTTCGAAGCAAGGGAATGACAATCAGATGTTCACTTCAGATAAATTATTATATCCATGTAGAGAGTTGAACTGAAGGGAGCAAGCAATAGCAGAGAGACCAGTTAGGAAACATCAATCTAAATGAGAGATGTTGAGACCCAGAGAAAAAACAATTAAAAACATGCAGGAGGGGACTTCCCTGGTGGCGCAGTGGTTAAGAGTCCACCTGCCAATGCAGGGGACACGGGTTCGAGCCCTGGTCTGGGAAGATCCCACATGCCGTGGAGCAACTAAGCCCGTGCGCTACAGCTACTGAGCCTGTGCTCTAGAGCCTGCGAGCCACAACTACTGAGCCTGCCTGCCACAGCTGCTGAAGCCCATGCACCTAGAGCTGGTGCTCTGCAACAAGAGAAGCCACCGCAATGAGAAGCCCGCGCACCGCAGCGAAGCGCAGCCCCTGCTCGCCGCAACTAGAGAAAGCCTGCACACAGCAACGGAGACCCAATGCAGCCAAAAATAAATAAATACATACATAAATTTATTTTTAAAAATATCTAAAAACATGCAGGAGGCAAAATTGGTAGGTTTCATGGATGGATTGACAAAGGAAGGGTCAAAGGTAACATGTCTAGTTTTCTTGCTTAGGTGACTGGATGAAGTATGGTATTTTGAGCTGAGATAGAAAACACGTCCGTTGAGATTGAATGGAGAAGAAAGGTTAGGAGTTGATGATGAATTTTGTTTTGAAATTTGGCGGAGGTGGTATTTTGGGGATATCTGAGTGAAGCTGTCCAGCAACCAACTGTTTACTGGAGACTGTTACTGGGGGAGGAATCAAAGTTGAAATCATGAGAGTGGATTAGACCATATAAGAAGAATAAATAGAAGAAGAAGAACAGAATAGATCCCAGGAATGCCAGATATTTAGAGGGCTGATGAGGAAGAGGAATCCTTGAAGAATTTCTGGATTTTCAACAGAGAAGCAGCATTGTATAATGTCAAATGCAGCAGAGAGGTCCAGCAAGTTTAAAACAAAAGCATTTCTTTTAGGTTTGCATTCTGGAAACGAAGAACAATTATAATAGACTCGTGGTCTTAATGCTGATCATTTGATTTTAATGATACTAATAATATACGGTGGTTCTATTGTGATTATTCACTTTAACTTTGAGTTTGACTTCTTTCTCTGTGGCATCGTTATCTGTTTATGGTCTTTTTGATCTTCTCCTTGCTGTCCTTTTTTTTGCCATCTCCACTGCCCATGTTCTTCAGATTTCTTGTGATAATCAAGTACTTTATAGTCAGAAATTCTTGGAGCCTTTGTTCTATTACTAAACCCACCTAGTAGTTAGAATAGTCAGGTCCCTACTACAGGGGGCTGGAGACTATAAACTGTGACATAGACGTGTTCACCAAGTTTCATAACCACCATTCTTCTAAAAGGAGATTTTATGATCATTCTGACGAGAGCTGATGTCCAAGCCATGGATAGTGAAGCTTTATCTTCCACAAAGTAATCTTTGAATATGTCACAGTTTAGCATTTTAGACCTGTAGCCCCATTAAACACATTATAATATATTGATTAAACTTCAGTGGGAAGAATATCACTCCAGGAAATCTGTTCTGAGACTTAACAGAAGTTTAGTTAACTGTAAGTTCATATTTCTCTGGACATACTTCCTCCCCGAAAAAAAAGAGAGGCAGTGATTCAAATAACTAGGAAACTCAAATAACCCAGATTTTTTTTTTTTTTTTTTTACATTATCTACTGTCCTATTACAAGGGTCATGGAAAGTCGGCCATTGTAAACATATTCAACAAAATTGCCTCCAAAGTATGTGACAAGATGAAGAGAAATTCAGTTTAGTTTCTACACTTTCTACATTAATAGAACTATGCAGTTGTTGCCATGGCTTGTAAAAATAACTGGAAATATAGAAATGCCTTCAGAATTCTGGAGGAAAGATGAACCTGATACTCAGTGTTAATGAGAAAATCTTACATTGTAATTTTTAATTAAAAGTATATGTGATAATTCTGTTAATCAGCATATTTCATTGACTGACCAACCCATCCATTAACCAATTTAAATAAGAGAAGGTAACTGTAATTTTTTCTTTTCCATATTTAATTTTGCCTCTGTGGTTTAAATAGGTAGAAGAATACACTCTAGCTTAAACAATTCATCAAATACACTATCTCGGGTTCCAGGGAGATATGTTATTAGGGTCTTACTGACTAATTTTTTATCAGTTACATAAGCTATTGCTTCTTTTTGCTGCCAGACATCCTTTGGCAACTCCATATTAATCATTGTCAGAACCTGCTTCTTTTTGGGATGCTGTCTTTTCCTCACCCATGGTCATTTATATTTCACATTCACTGCCTAAGAGGAAAGAAAGACCAAAAATGAAAGTAGGATCAAGAAAAAAAATTTAGAATTTTAAAGTTTTTCCATGTCTAGATAGTTTTAAGAAATAAGTATCTTCTCCTGGTGCTTGGAAATTTCCAGAAGCTTTGATAATAGCTTTGTAACTTGTAGTAGTTTAAGCAGTGGAAGAATTAAGTGTTTATCACATAGATGCTGTTATATCTATTGATGGAATTATAAGAAATTTATCATTTACAGTTTGGAAAAACTGTTACAGCACAGATTGCTTGTAACCATTATAGTGTTTATCTGCCTTTGAAGTTAAATATGTAATAATTATCAGTAATATCATCATTATATTATTAGTGTAATAAATAATGTCCTCATATATTTCATTTATTCTAAGAATCATATAAAATATTTTAGATAATTTTTAACCCCAATATATTTCTCATACATATTTATTGTCAAGCAGCTTTAAGGTTTTTTTTTTAATTGAACATATACTTTTTTAGACTTTCAGAAAATTATGCTCCTTTTTAAGGTTAAATCACTCTATGTAAACTAATATCAACATGTATGGAAGCTTTCCAACTGCAAAAAGCATTATTATTGGATAACCCAGAATGTTTAAAAGTATTGTTTTTTTTCAAAAACTGTAACCAGGCACAACTCGTTTGGAAACCAGTTTGGCTTTTATCTGATAAAGATATGCATACCAGGCAGCTCCACTCCTAGATATATACTTTAGTCAAATTTATGAACATGTACACTAAAATCATGTATTAAAATTGTTTTAGGATCAGTGTTTATAATAGTCGAACAACTCAAATGCCCACTATTATAATGTCTAATATTAGAATTATAATTAGAAATTAAAATGGATAAATTGTGGTATATTCATTTTGTGGAACACTATACAGCAAGTAAAGAAACGTTTCACACTACGTAGGCTAATGTGAATGAATCATACAAACATAATGTTTAGTAAGAAAGCAAATTATTGGTATCATTTGGTATGATTCCATTTTAGTATAATTCAATAACAGACAAAAGTAAACTCTATTTTAGGATGCTCCATGCATGGAAAATATAAATAATACCAGTGAAGTGATTACTGTTAAAATCAGGACAGTGATTTCTCTGAGGAGAAATTGGGAGTCGTGACTGGGTGAGGACACATAGGGATCTTCAGGAGTATTAACAGTATTCTAGTTCTTAATCTGTTTTTACTTCATAATTGTATATTCATTGAAGTATAAATTTAACTTTTATATATTCTTCTGTGTGCCATATTTCAAAATAATATAAGGTTTAAAAATTACAGATCTTTAAATGCTTCCCCCCAAAAAAGACAAGTTTCAGATAAGATTTAACCAGTGGGCATCAGAAATGAGAAGCAGAGCTACTTCTTAGTTTTCCTGAAAATAAGGATTCTACAGAGTCCAAGGTAACAAAATAGAGGCTTCCTAGTGTCTTTATATGTATATATAAGTGAAAATACTTGTGCCATTATATTATTTAGGAATCTTTCTGCTACATGTAACGTAACATTAACTAAAAGTAGTTTAAATTAAAAAGGAAATATATTGGCTCACATAACTGGGAAGTCCAGAGCAGAGATGCTTTTGATATGGTTGGATTCCAGAGTTCATACTTTG